CCCCCAAAACCCCAAAACCCCAAAACCCCTTTTCAAAACGGATAATTGAAAATAATATTATTAAAATTATGAACGTCAAGAAAATTCATACAAGTAAGTTTTACCCATTTAGACATTTGGCAAGCAACAAGTTTGAAGAATTGACACCAAATTTCCATTTTTATTCTCTTTACATGTATAAGTATGTATAGCTATGCAATCACCTGAGCGGTTAAGGGAGAGTCTTCAGAAAATTAGTAAGTACCCTTTGTTGCACAAAGTGTCAAAATTTATCTTAGACATACATATGACTGAGAAGGACCTGGTTGATAAGACAATGATTGATAACTCTACATCAGATTATCCATCCTTGTTTGATCCCATATACATGAACTCTTCAAATAGAGAATCAAAAGGATTGCTCACCAAGAATATTCCTACCACTCAAAAGACATTCTCCTTCAAACGTAATGTTAATAGTATCAAAAGATGAGCAACTCAGAACTCAAAATAACAGATCTAAGAAAGTAGATAGTCCTATTTGATATTATAGAAGCTAAGAAATACCCAAAATTCAGAGAACAGAAATGCCAGCTCTCCTTGGGAGAATATAGACAAAAAGTTTGAGACAATTAATTGCTCCCAGACTGCAACGAGAGATGAAGATCTCAGCAAAGGGACTACCAAAATCTCTAGCAACTGTCCTAAGTTGAGCTCTAAAAATGTATCAAAGTTCCTGCTATTCCCTTTAGAAATCATCAAAATTATCCAAACTTCCGCTTAAAAAGATTCAAAAATAGAAATCAGTCGATGACGATCTTTGATAAGCACATCAAGGACATTGTCCAGCAGCAGCATGATAGCCATAAGCGTCAGGAAAAGAACCAGGAGCGACTGCTCGACCACCGTTATAAGCTCACCTGAGAAGATATCAATGGTACCTGCATATTTGTAATCCTGTAGACAAGGTAGATACAGCCATGTTAGATTTAAATAAATACACGGATGATGCCCTTCTTAAGTCAGCTGAGAGAGCTCAGAATGAGATCAGTGAAGCTCTTGAAGACCTCCTCAAAAACTGCAGGGGCAATAAAGATGTGTACAACACGTTCAGGAATATCTCAAGGAGCCAATTTGAGATCTTCAATCTCACCAAGTCGCTTCACTTAAGATACAAGGTAGTCACTGATGATTTTATTAAGCAAAAGGAAGCTCAATTTAGAAAGATGAAGGAAGAAATTACCACCTCCTTGCCACCTCCCAGAGACCCAAAGATCTCCACCTTCGAAGCGATGAAACAGATTGACCAGTCTATTCAAGAGCTGCTTGAAGACCCCACTCAGAAGAGGAAAGATGGGTTCACTGCTAAGAAGTTTTCTGGAGTAGATGACAAGCTCAATGAGGTCTATAGGTACCTTGGAATGATTAAGAATGACAGGATAGAAGCCAGCTCTCTCTTGTCAAGAAGCACTAATTTTGATGATGTCCAAGGTTTCGTCAAAAATCAAGCAAAAGCATTACAGCTTACTTCCTCGAGATTTTTAGGTAACTGAGTATTATCAATTTTTAGCTGATAAACTCGCTCCGATCAAGCCAGCGATGGTGACCAGAGGAACCCAAGACAACTATGGAGGAATGTTTCTTAATGAAGTTGATAGACTTAACATAAAAGTTCATGAAAGAGAGAAAACTATCAAAATAAAAGAAACTCAGTTACAAGAAATTCGAGAGAAATACACGGTGCTTTCCAGAGGTAGCTCTTTTCTTCATTTCTAGATGTCAATGGTAATAACATCAAGATGAGGAATGCTGTTCTCAAGGTCGAAATGCTTGAGAAAAAGTTAGAAGAATATCGTCGCCAAATCACTCTCAAAAGCCGTATAATCGGCTCATACGAAGGTATTTTCAAATTTCCTAACCTCTAGACCAAATTTCAGAAATCACCAATTCCGCCTAAGAAAACAATCATAAAGCTCAAAACCCAACTCAGGGTCCTCTCCAGCAAGCTTTCCAAAAAGGAAGAAATCCTGGACAAGCTAAAACAATCTACTCTCTTAAAGCCAAATTCCACCAAATCCAAGTCCAAAATCGTACGTGTCCTTCCTAAAATTTTTCAAATTTCAAAATTTCCTTAAAAATTGACATTTTTATAGGAAAAAATTATAGAAGAAGTAAGCGAAAATCTCAAAAAATACCAAATTTAGGCTGAAAAGGAAGCCCAAATTGACCATATCGAAGAAGAAGATGCTTATAGTGACTTCTCATTACTAGATGATTATGAACAGAACCAGAAAACAGCATCTAAAAGTAACAACCAGGATGACTTTTAGAGAATAGTGCGGTTAATCAGAGAAATAAAGGCATTTCAGTCATGATAGAAGCTGTGAAGGAAGGTACTGAAGAGAGTAAGCATTAGGCAAAGTATTTTTTAGAGAAAGTACAGACTGTTTATATCGATTTGAAGCCCAAGGTGATCACTAAACAAGCCGAGTGCCCTATTTGTAAAGGCAGAAAGCGAAAGTAAGACTTTGAAGGGATTTTTAGGAAGCAAACAAGTGTCAGTGTAGAGGTAATTTGGCGAAGTTGTGGCAGGGTTAGTGTATAGGTCGAAACTTCACCCAAATTTTGTGAGAAGGAAAGCGTGGAGGTAAAGGGAGACAAAGTTGAAGAAGGCTCTTATATAAACCTGAAACTGGAAGCAGGTACTGTAGATGCTGGGGCATCTCATAAGATATGTGAAGAGAGCAAGTTAGAGATGCATAAGAAGCGGAAGAGTAAGTCTCCAATAAAAAGAGGAATGGGTAAAAGAATTGCTAGCAAAAGTAGTCTCTTAGACCAAATATCCGAAGAGGATGAAGAAGGTAATGCTAACTAGCTCTTTAGGCTCCTTATCTCAGTGTATAGAAATGATTAAGAAGCACAACCTCTCTCAAGAAGAAAAGATACTTCTTCAAAAATATGAGAGCAGATTCAGCTCTAGCAAAGGCGGTGATATCTCTAGTGGAGGAACCTATGCTTCAAAAGTAAGCTTCGCCAAGGTCTTCAGTACTCCAAGAGTGGGCCGAGAGAATAGAGAATTTGAGACATTTTATCATCAAACAAAACAAAAATCAACTCCAAAACAAGAGCTCAGAATGCGCTCTTTTGAGCCAGTGATGTAAGACAATACCTTAATCTTGTAGGAAAAAGAGTTCTTCTAAGAAAAAAATTGAACCTGAGGCTCCTATGAGAGTCACTTTGCATAGAACTGGGACTCTAAATCCTATGTCTGATGGGTTCCTCACACAGGTAATCCTTCTCATTATATGACTAATCCCTTTAGCCGAGGTATGAAAAGGACAAGAAAGGCAAGAATGAAAAACTCTCAGGCTATGTTGGCTTCTCAGGAAACACTCTCAGCTTTGACTAGGCTTAAGTCTGTTTCAATGTTATATAAATGCCTTGGGGTTTTGGGGTTTTGGGGTTTTGGGGTTTTGGGG